TCTAGCTGACCTGTGATTATGAAACTGTCACAGGCTCAATAGTTCGGAAGTGAGCGAACACATACCGTCGCTCGCTCACTTCTTGATCTATCCCTGCAGAGAGCGGTGACTGTCAGTCACAGCTCCCTGCAGGGATTTCACCCCCCGATCCTCCAGCGCTGACTGGCGGAACGGACGGGGGAGGGTACAGCTGACTCTGCTTCTAGATAGGCAGAGCCAGCTGTCAATCACGCAGCTGGGTGGATCTCGACAGTAATGTTGGGATCAGGCTGCGGCGTCTCAGTATAACACGAGCTGTGGCTCGTTGAGCTTTGGGTGACGGGAGGACGCTAGTTTGTGTCCTCCTGTTACCCTTACGAGAACGGTGGGGAAAAACACTTACCCCATAGTTCTCCTTTAAAAGTACAGCTGGCAGCTGACTTTTGAGGTTTTCACTAGTTGTTGTCTATGGAGCTGGCTCCTAAAAAAATCCTGCTGGATCCTGAATGGGACAGACTGGCTTCTGAATTCCATTTTAATCTGTCAGCCCTTGGAGTATGGGTCTCCTTTAAGACAGGTCTTTTTTCTACAGACATAGATAAACATGTCCGAATTACCAAAATCTAAATGAACATGGACACTGAAAGTTAAAATCAGCGCAATCTATTTTAGCCTCGTGCTTTCACATAAACTCTGGTCCATTTATTTCAGGCCTGTGGTAAAGGACTAGGCAGCTTGCGGTTTGGAAAGGTTATACAGTAGAACCTCTGTGTATGATTCAGCGTGGTGAGGCCTCAGTGGACTATGTTCTGGTTGCATGATGTTCTTCTTGCTGTGTGGGAGAATTTGGCAGGTCCTCTGGGTGGTTAATCACAGTAGTGTGTACCCGCTCTGCAAATTACCATTAAAACCAGAAGGCTGAGGCCTGTCCTGCATTACACTGAGCACTCACTTCATGCCTGGGAGGGATGTTCAGAGTCAAACCACTCATGTAGATGATCAGGCTCAGCGGAGCTCTTTGTGATATGTGCACATAGTCAGGACTACACAGTTGTTCAGTGATGAGTGTGTGTGGTTCCTTTAATCAGAACTTGTACTTTGCCCAAACACACAGAGTTCATATTTTAAAGTAGACCTGAACCCTAACTGGACAATATCTAGCTCACTAAAGCACAGTGTATCATAGACTATTGCCATGTTTTTCTTCCTTTTTGGACATCTCATTGCTGCTATTTTTCTGCAGCTTTTTTAAAGCCCCGTTCTTCCTAAATGCCTTCCAACAATGGCTGCATGGTATTTCTCATGGTGAGTTTCCTGATAGTGACAACAGTGAACACATACATCCCAACTTTCTGAGAAAGAACGGCACAATGTATTTGGGCAACGGACACACCCCCTGCCCCCCATGCCCAAAATTAGGGATGCACCTATACCGTTTTTTTGTTATCGAGTACAAGTACCGATATTTTTTTTCCCCGGTACTTGCTGATACTGAATACAGATACCGGAAGTCCCATTAAAGGAGAACTATGAGGTGAGTGCTTTTCACTCACCTCATAGTTCTAGCCGACCTGTGACAATGAGACTGTCACAGGTCGGCTCAGTAGATCGCAAGGTGAGCGAACACATACCGGCGTTCGCTCACCTCTCGATCCTGTCACGGCTCTCTGCCGTGACAGGGGAGGGGCTGGATTCCCCCCCTCCTCGCTCCGATCCGCCAGGGCGCACTGGCGGAACGGACAGGGGAGGGGGTGGGTACAGCTGGCTCTGCCTCTAGATAGGCAGAGCCAGCTGTCAGTCACGCAGCTTGGCGGATCCCGGCACAATTGTCGGGATCCGCTTCAGCTGCGGTTTCTCAGTATACAGCTCGCTGTATACTGAGCCTAGGGTGATGGGAGGACGCTACTTTGTGTCCTCCCGTTACCCTAAGGAGAACTATGGGGAAAAGCCTTAACCCCATAGTTCTCCTTTAAGGAAGCCAGGCGGCGTGTAATGACCCGTCACCTGGCTTCCTGATTGGCCGGGAAGCCGGCTCCTTGCTCCCTCGTCACAAGTGTAATGACTTGCTGCCCGGCTTCCTGATACCAGAAGCTCAAGTATCGGGCTAGGCATCGAAGCATTTGGGCAAGTATGAGTACTCGCCATCAGCGCCAATACTAGTATCTGTATCGGTGCATTCCTACCAAAAATGATTGGTAATATCCAGAATTGTTATTTTCCACCATTACTTTTCCTTTTTACTGGCTATTTCAAAATAGCAACAAGATAATTAGGGGATAAGATGAAGGTTTTAGTGCAGAATAACACTTTTGGTAGTTAGATAGAACCATTTCATAGATATCTGTATTTCCGACTAAAAAGAGGAACAACTAAGGAGGAAAGAGAGACAGAGGGATTTGGTTCCAAACAAGGGACAGTCCATAGAAAATTATGAATATTGGGAGGTATGGTGGACCATTCCAGTGTAATGGAATGGTCCATTATGGCCAGGTGTGACAGGGAGACAACAAAGGAGCACAGTTGGAAGTCTGTTGTCACCCTATAACAGGAAATGCTGGAACAGCGTCCTCCATGGCAGGATCACCAGGTGTTATTTTAATAAAAGCTGCAGCTATAAATAGAGTAAAGAAAACTTTTGAAATTACATTAAAATGTTAACAATTAAGTTGTATGGCCAACGTTGGTGGAGACCTGAATATCACATCAACGTGAGGTTGTTGGACATCCCATTCCGAATATAGAAATTAAATGGAAAACAATTTGTTTCATTTGTAGCTGAGGCTCCTCTGCTACAAGCCAAAGAAAGGATTGTTGATCCCATTTCATCTCTGCATTAATCTACACAAGGAACACAACACTCCAGTGAACAAAGTCCTGGTTGTCCCCTTCCAGCATTAAGAATGACTCCATAAGAGAAAGGTCTACGTGGAGACTTATTATCCACAAACCAATCTTTATAAGGTTGGAGAGACCTCCATTTTTTAATGTTTTTTTTTACTTGTTGACACAGAAACATGGATTTTATGGGAATTTATTTCAAAGAACCTTGGACCATCAAACTCCACTTTGTCCCGTGTCCTGATAAAGTTGTTGGCACGTGGGAGTGATGGTCGTCCAGTTTGGAGCACAGGTCCTCTAGAACAGTGCTTCTTAAAGTGTGGTTCGTGACCCCATATGGGGTCCCGCAAGTGAACAGGGGGGTCGCGATCTGAATCCCAGCAAGATTTTTTTATTTTCGTTTAATGTGTAGTGTAGTTGTTAAGGTCGCGGGCCCCCCTGTGCACTTGGTATCTCCCTGAGCACATGCACGCAGGAAGGTTTTTTTCACCCCATTGACGGAGCTTTCTTTAACCCAGCAGAAGTGGAGCACAGCTGCTGGAGGTAAAGGTAAGGAGGGGGTGGGTAGTAGTATTGGTAATGACAGACGTCCGTCCACGGCGGGGGGGGAGGAGGAGGAGAGACACAGACCGACAT